CTCTCTCTCTCTCTCTCTCTCTCTCTCTCTCTCTCTCTCTCTCTCTCTCTCCCTCTCAATCTATCTCTCTCTTTCATTCTCTCTCTTTCTCTCTCCCCCTCTCTCTCTCCCCTCCCTCTCCCTCTGTGTCTCTGATATTGTCTTGTCTCTCTATCCTCACCATCAGCGCCATAACGTAGTTGGCGAGAAAGCGGCAGGTCCGGACCTAATTAACTACCCCTCATCTCTTAATCAGAGCCATCGGCGCCTTGAGGTGGTTTTTGAGAACGAAAAAAAAAGAAGAAAAGAAAAGAAGCCGCGAATTCGTCAAAACATTAACTCTTCCAGTCTTTCTGACTTAATTCATGATATAAACATTTAAGAAATGTTTTTAAAAATAATATGCTTTCAGTAAGTTCAAGACCCAACTCTCCAGCTAGCCCAGTCAGTGCAACCGGTCGCCACTCCCACTTCTGCGGCGTCCAATCTCACCTTTGTGTTGTATCCAGACAGAATGGTGGCGTGGAACAGGTAGGTCCCCGCGCCGGTGGCGGTGAACTTGCCCGAGTCCGGGCTGTAGGCGTCGCCCTCGTTGGTCAGGACGGTGTCAAAGACGACTGTGTCTAGCGGCTTCAGCTCTCGGTTGTAGCTCAGCTTGGCGGAGAACGCCACGGACGATGCGCTGGGCGAGGCTGCGATGGCGTTTGGCGCTTTGAGGTGTCACACGCAATTTGGCGGGGGAGGGGGGACGGGGGAGGGGAGGGGGGACGGGGGAGGGGAGATGGGAGGAGATAATAAAAAATGAAACATAAAAAAAGAAAAAGAAAAAGAAAAAGGGGGCGGGGAGAAGAGGGGAGGGGGAAAAGTAAAAATGAAATATAAAAAAGAGAAAAAGAAATATGGGGGGGGGGGGGGGGGGGTGAGATATAAAAATATGAAAAGAAAGAGGGGAGAGGGGAGGGAAGAAGATAAATATGAAATATGAAAAAAGGAATATGTACGGGGGGGAGGGGTGGCAATGAAAAATGAAATATAAAAAAAGAAAAAGAGGGAGGGGGAGGGAAGGCAATGAAATGGAAGTATTTTTTTTTTAAGAAAAGGAAAGGGGGGGAGGGGGAAGAGGAGAGGGGAGAGCATAAAAATGAAATATTAAAAAAGAAAAAGAAAAGGTTTGCGGGGGTTCAGATTTACAATCAATTTTATATTTTATTTAATTTTTGAGATTTGTCGAAAAGAAAGAGAAAAAATGACGCCTCATTTGTCACAGTACGGGAGAAACTTAGTACAGATATCAAGAAATATCTATCACTTTGGCTATCTATCTATCTATCTGTCTATCTGTCTATCTATCTATCTATCTATCTATTTATCTATCTATCTATCTATCTGTCTGTCTGTCTGTCTGTCTGTCTGTCTATCTGTCTGTCTGTCTGTCTGTCTGTCTGTCTGTCTGTCTGTCTATCTATCTATCTATCTATCTCCTAAGCACTAACTGAACGCATGGAAGCGAATAGAACAAATGGAGAATAAGTACGAATAACATGTAACAACATAAAATCATAGTCTCTTACATACAGACATACGTATAACTGTTTATAGATACATGCAGGTAAATAAACACATATACACTTAAAAAATGTACCCCCTCCCCTCCCCTCCCCAAATCCCTATCCCCTCCACACATACACACAAAAAAGCACTCACGTGCACACGCACACAAACACACACGCACACAAAACACACACGTACACGCTCACACATATCCACACTTACTCACTAATACACTTACACACACACACACACACACACACACATACACACACACACACACACACACACACACACACACACACACACACACACACACACACACATATCGCGAACACTTTCACCGGTCAGCTCACAGTATCAGATCACAACTGTCACTACTTAAACCGGCGACGCGAATTTCTCATTGGTTGAACTTCCAGTGCACTCGGAGCTCACCAGTACTATAAAAATTGTAATAATTTTGTAATACAAGGTATAGGAGACTTTCCTAACTGGGCAGTGTTCGTCTCGCTTTTCCGATCGATTCTGGTTTGTGTTTTGTCGACAATTTTGGCCAGCAGCTGAGGATTACATGCTCATGTATAGTTACATCTCGGCACAATGAGGGCTGCGGTATACGACAACGCTTACGATTGCTCGGAACCTTGGGCCTTCTTCTTCGTCGTCGTTTTCTTCTTCTTCTTCTTCTTCTCCTCCTCCTCCTCCTTCTTCTTCTTCTTCTTCTTCTTCTTCTTCTTCTTCTTCTTCTTCTTCTTCTTTTTGGTATTATGACAAGTTCGGTGCTGTTAATATCTCTGCACGAAATGAATGTTTGTCGTTTGTTATGTGAGCCTCAGTCGTGGATCTTTTGGAAGTTTTATTTCTCTTTTGCCGCTTGCACCTTTGCTTTAAGTGATAGATCTAGGGCATTATGAGCTTAGCTCAGAGCAAAAAAGACTGAGGTAAAGTTCACGTACAGTCAAAGACCCTGGATGGATCTCTGGAATGTTTTATAATGATAAGATGCTTCCGAGTTTCTGTAGAAAATGACTAGCCTACAGCAATGTGAAACGCTTTGCAAACCCATTCTCGTAATGACTCAGTTTTCGCGAAAAGTTGGCTAGTCCTTATCTCTCATCCTTTTTGTGTTTGTTACTCTCTTGTAACACCTCTAATATTCGGCACTTATATGACCCTATTGTGTTGCAGGTGCCGTTGAGTTCTTATTAAAACTAAAACTGAATCCGTTTCTTTAACTGCTTTTTCAGACTGGAAGTGGACATTGACTCAAATGTTTCTTGATAGCAAATTATACCACAGATCATTAAATGGACGCGAAGGAAAGATGTTAGGAATCAAACGTAGAACGATACGATAAGAAAAGATAAGATAAGACATGATAAGACAAGACAAGACAAAACAAATCTCTTTTGGTAACCGACTCACCGGGAGTCTTGCTGTAGTTGGCAGTGACCTGGTTCCGGAGGTCGTACAGTTCTGAGACGTAGGTGTCCAGGGCAGCTTTGAGCGCCAGTCGCTGGTTCATCTGTACACGCACACACAAAAAAAATCAGACTGGTTAGCAAGTCTAAGTCCCAAGTGTGGTTCTAAAGCAGAACACGACCAGTAGTAGTAGTAGTAGTAGTAGTAGTAGTAGTAGTAGTAGTAGTAGTAGTAGTGAAGAGACTTTGCAAGATGTCTGTTCGATAACTAACGCAGACAGTTAACTAGCACTTTTTAAAGTCGCAGTTCAGAAAAGGTCTAAAAAGGATCGAAATTCAAATTGCAGTCCCTACAGTTTATTTCCAATTTTGAAAACTTAAACTATACATGTTCAAAAACCTACTCACTGCCACAGTTCTTGCTTACTTCATCAAAAACTACGACATTTTATCCTGGGACAAGGTTCGAAGCTTGTACTAAGTTGTTCTACTTTTCTGTATGAATGAAAAAGGTATCACATTCTCCATTGAAAGCAGATCATGTTTCCTTGCCGAATATTTACACGTTACAAGTGTTAAAAGATTCAGCTCGACAAATCTACATCAACCCAAAGGCAAACCGTTCGGTGACGTTTTCCCTACTGCAGTAAACTGTAGCGTCCGTAATTGTGTTTAATTAAGTAAGAGCCTCGTGGAGAACCTTGTGCATCAAATTAATGTATAGCCAACGTGAACACAAAAAAGTCTGAATGGCAAAGTTAACAGCTTCCAAAGGAGAGTCGTTCGTGTCCTTCCAAAGCTTAGATTTATCGGAAAATACACCAAAACAAGATTAAGAGCCCTTTGGCTACCGTTGGAAATACTTATAGATTACCATCGCCAGGTTACAGATCTGGGACAGAAACCGTCGATCATGGTTTGCTATTCATCTCTCCGTCTAGGTGCTCTTTAAAACGCCATACATTCCTGATCTTTCTATGTGACCCATCTATTTCGGCATGGTAAAAAAATTTCTCTTGGTCTACCCCTTCCTCGTTTTCCTTTAATTTTACCAGTAAGAACTAGATAATTAATCAAGTACCTTTTGTTCTTTCAGGTGTCCCAGAAACCGCATTTGTCTATCCTGATTGTTTTGGGGTTTGTTTGGGTTTTTGTCTTTCAGCCCACGTGAACTTCTTCAAGTACTACCCCATGTGATTTCTTTTTCGTCAAAGAAATTCCGAACATTTTCTGAGAAAACACATATCTGTTGCTTCTATTTTATTCCCACTGCCTTTAGTGAATGTTCTGCATTAATTGTTGCAGTATTTAAGGTTGAACACACACAGCCTTTTAGTAGATGTGTTTTTGGTAGTCATTTGTCACATCTTTGGATGCGCCTAGCTCTTTCCCGGAAAATGAATTTGAGCTCACAAATAATTGGGGAGTCTTGGGTATGGGGACAATAGGCAAAAACAAAAGGGGGGGGGGGGGTGAGTCTTTTGATTCAGACAAGAAATCCTGTTTGTGGATTCATTGATTCAAAAACACAGGTCTGTAATGGTACATTAAATACACCTTCAAAGAAAGCAGAACAAATCCAAATTACGGAAACGCGCTCATCTGACCTTATACAGTTACGAGTTACGAGCGCCGTAAAACACTTACCAAATAAACAACTATGGAGAAGCTAAAAAAGGACAGTGTTTACGTAAATATAACAAGCTTGCAGCAGCTGCCTTACAGTTGTGGCGAGACTCGGCTGCTGTTGCAGTATTGGTGGAGAGTGAATTTAAACTCAATCATAACTCTAAAACAACTAAAACAACAAAAACAATAACAACTACAACAATGATAGAAATAACAAAAACAAAAGCAACAACAATAATAATAATAATAATGATAATAACAAAGTAATAATAATGATAATAATAAAGTAATAATAATAATAATAATAATAAAGTAATAATAATAATAATAATAAAATAATAATAATAATAATAATAATAGTAAAAGTAATAATAATAATAATAAAGTTAATTATAATAAAATAATAATACAATAATAGTAGTAATAATAAAAATTGCATTTATGTAGGGCATATCCATGCTGGACAGCATGCTCTTTGATGAAGGAAGGAGGGATGTGAGGGATGGGGTTTGGAGACAAAGAAGGAGAAGCGGCAATGTCACACTTGAGAGACTAAAGGAGACTTTTCTAGAATGTCACAGAGACTAAAGGACACTTTTCTAGAATGTCACAGAATGTCACAGAGACTAAAGGACACTTTTCCAGAATGTCACAGAGACTAAAGGACACTTTTCTAGAATGTCACAGAGACTATAGGACACTTTTCTAGAATGTC